CGCAGGCCAATTGGGCGACTGTGTTCGTACCAACACTTTCATTGTCGTGAACTCGATGATGGGCTACAAAGCCAGCTTTCGATTTGCAGCACTTGCCACATTCCTCACACGTGAACCCAACGAGTCTCTCCTGTGTACTGGTTGGAACTGGTGCGGAGGCGCCAGATGATTCGTAGTATACATTGTCGAAAGTAACCAGCACATTGAAACCAAACGGGGTGGTTGGCCCTGTCTGAAGTTGCTGAACTCTTAGCTCACCCAGACAGACGTCCAGGCCGGTCGGTCGGCACCACGAGGAAGTGGTTCAGCTCGCAACGTGGGTCAAGTATAGCTTTTAGCGCTTCTTTCATGCCTCTTTGGTTCCACCACGAACAAAGTCGGGCGAAAGCACCCAGAAAACAAATATCCCAGGGAAGTTGTTACACTAAGACAACTCACGTACAAATTCCCACCACATTTTTATGTGCTAGCTTGGTAGACTGGCGATTAGTGAGAATAAGTCTTATCCACTTGTCGTAAATGCCCACAGCCCATACGTGTCCTTCCTACATGGTATATAATTAGTCTTATTTTGCGACAAACAATGAAGTGCCATGTGCTCGAAGGAACGAGTATGCTCTCCGTACTTGGAATCATCTATCGATTTTGTTCTTTCGAGTGTGGAAGAGTAACTAGGGTTAGTTGTCGCAATCGATCGGCAATCAAGAACGAGGAGCTGAAATAAAAGAACTCGTGTGACAGAGTGTTTGTTTCTCCCCAGAGATCATCTAAGTAACGAAAATGGAAAGCGTTAAAACACGGAAGCAAGTTGCATTTATCAACACGGTCAAATGAAAACGTAACGAAAAGCGTTTCTAATGCGTCTAGAACAGAGGTGTCACCATTTGAACTCGTTTCCCTCTAGACGTGCCTGCCAAACTCGTACTTAAAACCGGCTTGATTAAGTAAAAGTTGACTGTGTTCTTGCCTATAGAGGCAAGAACACTTCACGACCCACAACCCTCNCAGGAATCCAACAAAGCGGTAGAAACTGGGGTCAGTCGACCACATTTAATTAGGTCACTCAACCTAATATGGACAGGTAACTACTGGGATGTGACATGAATTCATTGGATACGCTATTGTCTTGTCGTGAAATCTAGCCATATAATGAGGAGAAACATGCACAGATAGGTTTATTTAGTTTATTCCAATAAGAGAAAAAGGGCCCCAGATTGTATGCGTCCCACGGAAGTGGCTAACACCGGGACATTCACATGATTACTTCTAGCCATTACGAATGCCTTTTATATGGGGTTTTCACGGTTGAAACAAGGAATACAATCTAGATAAGATTAATTAATATTGGGAGATATTGAGCGATGTAGATCAGTAGACGTAACTGAAGCTTGGGGTCATGTAGAGGGCTTCCAGGTTTTGTGCTTTTCTGTCAAGAAGCTGTACTAACGTATTCGCCTAGATCTTCTGCCAGTGGAAAGAGCAACATATAATCACACTTCAGGTTTAGTAACGACGCCAGCTAATCGATTCGAGAAAACAAATGTGTATCTCCAAGTTGAAACCAAGATACACTGGCTTGTGGATGAAGTTGATTTTTCGCAATTCGATTATGTTAATCCCGATCAGCTGGTTCTCAAAATGTGCTATTCTAGGACACGATTTGCGACCAAGAAAACAGTTGGTTTCTGGTTAACAATTAGGATAGCTGAGACCGATTTTTGACAACTTCATTACTGGCTATCTTTCTAAAGCCACCGCATATTGTTATACTGTGTTATTTGTGCTTTTGCATGAGTTTCACAAAAATTAGGCCTGGACTTCGCATGTGTGACTCAGACTGATTACACAAGCTGTAGTCTGCTCAGCTATTTACACATGTCGGTGAATGGGTCTAACTATGAATGAGTTTCACAAAAATTAGGCCTGGACTTCGCATGTGTGACTCAGACTGATTACACAAGCTGTAGTCTGCTCAGCTATTTACACATGTCAGTGAATGGGTCCTAACTATGAATCACCAGCCAACGTTTTTCCATATAATGTTAATAAATCAATCCTAACGTAAAGTGGGAGGCAGTCACCAGCACTATGTTCGCCTGAGAAGGTCGAATATAAGAGTATCCCTCAGCCACCTATATTTTAACATTGAGATGCGTGTAAACCCAGCGAGATAGATTTACAAATTTGAGAGCAAAAACCGCCTATTATTTAACATCTTTGAATGATTGTAGCATAAAGAACTCCACACGCAAATTGTTCTGTTTCACTTTGCGAACCGGATATGTTTCTGGAAATGCTACTTTTATTAGGGTAATAGAATACTCGGGTAATATTTATTCCACCCGCGAGACAATCTGCTGAGTCTCAGTCTAAAAAATTTGGTTGAAAGCGCTGAGTGGATCGAGGAATGAATAGGGGTAATCCAAATTTGATGGTTGCCACTGGATATACTTAAAACACAAGGTAATGAAATACTTGGCGATAGGCGAATGTGATAGTAGCAGGGTGAGCGCTCGTGCATTCAACTAACATCTGAATCAAACTGATGAGTTTCCTTGGATCCGTTTTACAATTTAGATGGTTCTACGCACTCTACAATGAAAAATCATACAGCATAGTGATGGATGATGATTTTTGTATTTTGCTACGTATCATAATACTTAGAATTGATGAAGAAACATTTGTGAGACCTGTGAATTACTTGTGTTGTCTAGCATATTGTGTTTGAATCACTTTGTTGACAGGCTTAATGAACAAATTTCAGTTCATAGCAATTACTGAGGTAGAGTTTAGCCGTATGCTTACACAGGAATTTGGAAAATCGTTTCATAAAAAATCATACCCTCAGTGAGATTTACAAGCTTGAAGCAGGTCGAACATGAAACTAGTGGAACTCTTGTTGTATTCATTATCGGACACATGAAAAGTGACGTAAGTGACAAACAAACGATGCACCATACACATTGGACGTTACTAAACCAAGATAACCCATCAGAACACCAAATACTGATCGCGTTAACTTCTCGGTTCGCGCAACCACCCCATTTGCATACGAAAATAGTTTGATGGACCTACCTTTTGAGCTTCGCGTTTGTCATTTCGCTGATTTTGCTGATAAATCCGTGCAAAGTGCGACACAATGACAGGGACGGGTAAGGCAATCACAAGCACGCCAGACAGTGAGCAGATGCCGCCAAATATTTTTCCAATAATTGTGATTGGAACGATGTCACCGTAGCTGAATCATGAGAAAAAGGGTTGAAAATAAATTAAACTAATGAAAATCACAATGCGTTTGACTCTGGTAGATTTCGTTCCTAAACATAATTCATTTAGCCAATACAATTGTGCGTGGAGATAAAACCCATGCTTGTGTCGTACGTTTTTGTCCGTAGTTTAATACTGAATCCTACCAGATTTCATTAGTCAAGACCGAGGTAATTTTATGGCCTTTTATGTTCCTTTATTGTAGGTTGGTTTGTTCTCAAATCATAAATATGAACGCGAACTAATTCAGGCCCTAAATCTGCCTAGTCACTCAGATTAACCTTCGGAAAAGAGGAGCCCACTAGCTCAAGTCGTCAAAAGTACCACCTCTCAGATAGCGAAAACAGATATTCTTGGGAGCTTGCTTATTTATCCGACCAGATAATGAGCTAGTAAGTTGCACGGTTTCTTGTGCGCTTTAATGGCACTTACGTGCCTATAATAGCTAACACTGGTCTGTTCATCCGCGACATGTACCTGGAATAAGAATTCGGCGAAGGGTCGCCGTGCGTTCTGACAATGAGTTTGTCAAGTTTACTCAGACTACCCGGTACAGAAGATAGTAAGGGCTACCGAGTAGGTGGCTGAATACGGTATTGGTGCAGTAAGTCCAGTCGCAAGGTAATATAAATGTACAGACATTATGAGATGTATACGATGTCCACAGTTTGAAAGCATCAATTATAATTAGTGGGACTTCAGTACAGTTGGGAAAAAATCTTTCAAAGATCGTCCAAGATCACCTCAGCATAGAGAAAATGGAAAACGCCTAAACTCCTAACGTAGTTCTCCGCGAGTTTACTAGAATGACTGGACGATTATGTGGACTACAATCATAGTGAGGGTGTAAATTTTTCTGGATAGTAGGTGCTCATTTGGCCTGCTATTATTAGCCTATCTTGTTGCTTGACTCTTGCATTCCAACTGCAACGTTGCAACTCGACAAGATTTTTTACCTAGACACATGGTCTGAATATGCATTTATGTCAAAAGCGGGAACGGCAAAGCACGCAATTTTCTTCCAGACATTTTTACAACGTTGAGTCCTCATTGAATCCAAAATGCAACTAATAACATTTTCAGAGTTAAATTTGAGAAAATAACGGGACCAAGGATTGCCACAAACCCAAACGTTTCCAGCTGCCGGAAAATGTTTGCGAATACTTCAAAATCAGACAAAACGAAATGGATGGAATTTGATAATGGCGCATTAATTTTAAGTAATTGTAATAAATTTCACTCCATAAATAAGGTTTCGGTAAACTGAGTAATTATAAGGGATCAACATTTCTGAAAAAGCCCGAAAAAACGGAAAATCAAAGGCAGTCCACCAATAAGCAGCAAAGTCATTCATCAGGTAAAGCGTTGTTATTTCTCCTTCTTGCTCCGACAAAACGTACGCCGGTGATATGCACTGGAAGCATGAGCTTAATTCATGGTTTCCCATCACCATTTCGATGAGGCAGCACGGAACTAATTGAATATTTTCCAAAGTAAATTGTGATTTACTGATCACAGTTCTGTTGAGACCAAACGTTACAACTACATCTGGGTGAAGCGCATTCGGCTACACGGCGGTTTCACAAGTCAACCATTTATATACCTTTGGTCCGGTCAGAAAAAATGAAAAATAGGGCCAATCTGTTCCATGGAGCCTTCATCAACCTAGAAGGCCTTAACAAATTGTTCAGTGAATTTTATGCCATAGTGTATGAAAATCACGTGGAATTACACAGGTGTTACAACTTCCAAGCTAAATGTGTTGCTGCAACAACTTGAATTGTTGAGGCTGCATTTTCATCAAGCACTGGCAATTAAAACGTGCCTGTGATGTAGGCGGCCTGGATTGAATCCAGACTCATCATACCAGAGCTGGTTGGTGTGATAACTTGTCTACCCTAAGATGCTTACTGGTTTTACAGTAGAGCGAACATGGTCAAACGCAGCCACAGAAAATAATGAGATCCATTGCACTGGGCTCCTTACAGTCACAGCACACCAATGTTTGACCTGACGCACACATGAAGCCAATTGCTGGAGACGTTAGCAAACTAGTATTGCAACGTCGCGTTACACTGACTCATCAGGTAATTGAAGTGAGATAAAATATCGTTAGCGGTCAAACGAAATGGAACTGTTCTGTGTTGCGATAGTTCGATGAAACATGTATGGGTTGTGGAGATAAAAAGTATGCAGTTATTGTTCACCGAAAAATACATAACTCATAGATCCTGAATTTCAATGGGCAAACCTTGACTATCCAGGAAAATTATAAGCGGTCATTACTTTGTGACAGCTTTATTTGCGTTTCAATTAGGGTGTCTTTATTCTGACTACTATCAGTAATTGTACTCTACTTTAAATAAGGTCCCCCACAAAGATCCTTTTGCTAAAAATGCGAATACACGATAACAGAAGCAAAGCCTTAGTCAAGGTGAATGAATTTCTACTACAAAGCAAAAAGTTCCCGTGTTGTGTCAGCTTCATTGTCAAACCGTTTTTGACATCACAGTTAACAGCAGTAAGTGCCGAGGAGGCTAGTACTATGTTGCATCTTTAAACTCATTTATTGCTTATCAGGTTGGATAAACCACCGAGGAAAGACACAATCCAAGTGGTAAGAAACTGCACGGAAATAATTAGTGTCCACCAAACACTTTTCTAGGTTCGCCTTTAACGCCGAAGTTCGCAGAGACTACGTTTTTAAGATAATATTATTTAGTGATTCGGCAAAATGCTCAAGCATATGGTACCTGATTTAATTCGGGAATCGGTGTAGTTGATGGAACAGCCCTAATGGAAAACTATTTGGTTGGATCAAAATAGGCTAAAATGGTTAAATTAAACCAACAGGTCCATTTCAGGGTAAACATTGAAATTATTTTAGATCCGAAGCCCTGTTTGAAAAAAAGCGACAAAAAATAAACTGTTTCCACATGTTTTATCGGATTTATACGATATATTCATATAACACGAACGCCTGTTGACCTTTTGTAAGGCGCATATTGCAAAAATTATATACAGGTATATAAGCTCCGAGCACACACCAATGATAAGCAATCGGTTAGCCTAATATAAATGTGAACTTTAAAAGACAATTTAGCAAGGAGTAGCATTTACTCATCTTGATTACAGTTAGTCGGCAACCAATCATTTAAGGAACAAGGGCCTGCCATCGAAATTAGCTGTGCCACATGGGTTACATTTTATTGCAAACCGCGTTTGGTTGAGGAGAGCACATTTTCCGAACGGCTTTACAACTCCTCGTACGTTTATCACTGACTTGAATAATTTGCACAACATTTAGGTGAAATCGTTAATCGTCATTCGGAGGAGATTCACACCGAGTATTCTTGGTCGGATGGCGGGAGACCTATCTCTTGACTAAGGAGAAAAATTCATCAAGAGGAAATCCTAAATGTCAGTTAGTTTCAGTGGTTTCCAAGAGACCTGAGAGAATGATGTATGCAGCGTTTGTCCTAACCAAGATTTTTTTCCAGTTTGCGACGGTTCGGCAGGACATTTGTCAGGTCTCGTAGACAGTATACACTAATTAATCGGGTATTTCGTTGCAGATCTAGGCCTGATTTTTCGAAACTGAATTTAGAGAGTCCTACTTAAACGCTTAGGAAATAATTCTCACCGTAACGAAATCTTACGCTTCTAAAAACCGCGCAGATAACCAGCGATATCTCGTGACAAAATGCTGCTTACAAAAGGCTACAGCTGATTTTACTGTGTATAATGATGGGGGAGTTGTTCTGGACGGCTCAACAGGTTTGCACAATTTGTTTGGAATTTTTGCTTGCCCTGTTTCTGTGCAGAGACGTTTAGTCACCCCTAAATAAATATGCCTTATTTGTAGCCTTTAAAACCACACCATATGTTCAACCATTTATTTCAACCGTTATTTCAAGTTTGTCTGATTAATTATTTTGAGGTCCACTTTTCTTATTAATGTACTAGTGACAATCCCCAGTGCATTTCTAGGCAAGTGATAGCATCACACAAACAGCACGCTTTGTCGAGAACCATAATGTCTGCACAGTGTGAAATATTCATGGAAAAGCCTATTGGGACAATAGCTCTGGTTTGCTTCGGCATCATTACTGCAACGTAGCAATAAAACTAATGTAGCGTTATTATCCAATAGGGTTCTTAGGCTAAAAGCTTGTCAAACAAGTGAACAGTACTTATTGAAATAAAACATATCCGGTTCCGTAGGCTAAAAAAAACTAGGTCAAATGAGGTGCCCAGTGAGAACTGCTTAGCTATTGACACATTAAAGGTGATGAGCGTCACTAACAGCCATGTACAGTGGAATTTGATGGACAATAAAACTTGATGGTGGAAGTCGTTTTCAGAAACACTTGAGATATCTATGAGGTACTGCCATGCCGTTTAAGCCTTTTCACCGCCAGGGTAGCTCATCACTGTGCTACACGCACTATCAAGTGCTAACACACTCTTTCATGCATACTCCAAGGTTGGGTTTCATTGGTTAGTCGATCCGGGTATTGGGGCTTTGTACTTGGGCTACGCTTAAGACAAACTTTTCCGACCAAAATATGACTGAAGGATCCCACAGATGGCAGTTCTTTCTGCCTTTACGGATGGAAGACAAACATTACCTAAAAGATGATATCTACTTCAGAGTGATATGAAAAATTCAAAATAAGTTACTCGGTTTTAACTCGGAAACAAAACATGTGTGATCACGTGAGGCGGTATCCATGTCCTTCGTTCACCCAGAAGGATTTCAGAGTCCCCTACAAGTCACTGCCTAGTGGTGACATTGTCTCTGTGAATTTATGAGAGCATCAGAATATACGTACGTGACCTGAGATTCTAGACAAGTGACAAACTCCAAACGACTTTTCAAGCTGTCTAGAACCAAAGAAGAGTATTAATCATGAAACAGGAATTAAAATTGGTGAATCCCCCTTGTCCTTCCAGACGCACAATTTAGGT